TCTCCATCTCCACCTCTCGTCGGATCAAACTTATGTTCAAAAGCATTTTTTGTTTCTTCTTCATATAATGTTTTAAACAACTTTTTTTTAAACTTTCATCTTGTGTTCAGAGAAAAAAGTAAATTTCATTTATAACTCCATCCGATTCTTGATAACAGCAGGTTTCAGCTTTCAATCCTTCTATCCCTCTTTCTTACCTTCTCCATCTTGTACCTAAACAATGTCTTTTTACGTCCTCCGTCTATCCTCTCAATCTCTCACCATCACTCTCTCTCTCTCTCTACCTCTGTCTCTTGCTCTATTCGTCTTCATTGTTTTTTTTATTTTTCCTCTCCTCATCCTTTTTTTTTTGTTCATCTCTCTCGTTACTCTCTGCTTCAACTCTACTGATCAAATAGGTTAGTTAACGAGTTCTAATTTATCCAACTTCGGTCATCCGAAGGATTCAATCGGTCCAAATGGCTTTTCCATTTCAAATTCAGCCTGTCCTGACACGAACTGCTCTTTCAACCTCCACCCACACCCCCACCTTCTACATTTAACCCCATCAGTTTTCATATGTTGCTGTTTGTAACAACTATGAACAATTAGAATGTTACCACGTTTTTCACGTAAAGCCGTAAACGTTTTCACGTGAACTTTATTTTCTTTTTCTTCGCGTCAATTCATTCTATGGTGATGTGGCGTTGAGAACGGTTGTTCCTCGTATGTTTCTCATCCTTCACGTTTCCATATATTCGTATTAGTTTGTATCTTATTGTTTAAGCTTAAAACCATGTGTCTGAATGTTCTTGTTATCCTCTTCCATTCAGCTTTTTTTCTTTTCATGTGCTACATCTTGAACTTCATTCCGCATGCTCTTTTCTGAACCTCAATGAGCATAAACCATTTATGTCACGAACCGTATAAGAATAGAAATGAAAATGCATTTTACTTTTTGAAAGAAATATTTCATTTTGTCAATTTCTACTTTCAGACATCATCAGCTCCAGAATATCATATAAACACATGCACTTATTCCTTTGTTCAGGTAATACTAGAGATGAGAGATTACATGACAAACTGTTGTTTTAAGCTTTTCTCCTCCTATCATTCGCTTATGCAATTCCAAGTCAGATCAAACTAGTGCAAGATTTGCTCGATAAATATGATAAAAAGGTTTTTTCTCTTTCTCTGACTCTCTCTCATCCAAAATGATTTTCTTTCAAGGCAAAACCTGTGTGGGACAGTTCACGTCCAATCAATGTCTCTTTCTCAATGGATTTATATCAGATTCTCGAACTTGTAAGCTTAACTAACTAACCCAAAATAACTTATTTCCTTCATTTTGTTTGCAGAACGAACCTCAACAATACATTCTGTTAAATGCTTGGATTATTGAAGTAAGTGAAATGTACTGAAAGCACCTTTCAAGAGAAAATAAATTATTCCGAAAGGGAAAAGTTCAAAAATGAATTTTTAAATTTGAAAGAGACGACAGAAGGAGGGTGGCTGGGTGAGCTGGGTGCGCCGGCGATGGGAGGAGGGCGAGCAGTGGGGGGGGGGGAGGATGGGAGAAGACGAAGAAGAGCAGCAGCAGCATCAGAGAATCGTTGAGTACATCGAATGAACGACTGGAAGTTACAAAAAAAAGACATTTTTCATAATGAAAATGGAAAGACAGAAGGGGAGAAGAGATAAATTAGTTAAAATGTCCTTTGTTTCGAAAAATGTACGCAGCCGTTTCCAATAAGAAAATATTCAATTAGGCTTAATTGGTTTCGTTGATGTTTCGAACGACTCAAAAAATCATTTTTGGCTTCTTTACTTCGTCTAGGTTTCTAGTTCTTTCAATAATTGAAAGTATAGATAGAAGGTCTTTATGAGATGGCGTGCATGTGTATGAAGAGAGACAGAGAAGTACCAGAGGTAGAGAATCGCCACTGAATGAGCTGGAGGAAGGTACTTTGACAGTCAAAAAAATAATTTTCGTCTCCATCCATCAGAGAAGTTTTCAAAAACTCAAAATATGATGAATTGAACAACATTTCATTTGATTATCATGCAATCTGCAGAGATGGTACGATGAATTCCTGTTCTGGCTGCCAGAAGACTACTCAAACATCACAGAGTTACGACTTCCTCATGATTCCATTTGGTTGCCAGACACAACCTTATACAATTCGTATGTTATCATATTAACTATAACATTATCACTCTCCTATGTATTATAGATTGGTTATGAAAGATGATGATACTAGACGTCTGTTGAATGCAAAGTTGACAACGGAAAAGAATCGTCGAGCTGCTCTAATTGAACTTCTCTATCCAACTATTTACAAATTCTCATGTCTTCTTGATTTACGATTCTTTCCTTTTGATGTTCAAGTGAGTTTGTTGTTTCCGTTTTCTGGTGTAGAACAGATGAACAGATGTTCCATTTTCAATTTCTATAGGTATGCACAATGACGTTCTCTTCATGGACTTATGACAAAATGGGAATCGACTACTTCCCGTATTCGGAAAAGATCGGTACATCCAATTATCTGGAGAATGAAGGATGGTATATACTGAAAACGAAAGGTCTTACATACTTTCTTCGGAGCTGTCGTAAACGGATGTTTCAGTTGCTCGAAACGAAGTGAAATACAGTTGTTGCCCAAATAAGTACACACTATTGCAATTGACTCTATATCTTCGTCGAAAACCATTATTCTATTTAGTTAATTTAATTATTCCAACTTCAATCATCACTCTCATTGCCATAGTTGGATTCTTCACGTATGTTTTGATATGATCATATCATTCGAATGATCACATTGCTTCAGAACCTCATCTGCATCAGGAATGAGAGAAGAGAAAGTCTCATTGGGAATCACAACTCTACTTTCCATGTCCATTTTGATGTTAATGGTGTCTGACCAGATGCCAACCACATCTACTTTCATCCCTTTAATTGGTTAACTCTCTCTCCAAATATAGCTTCTCTTAATTATTTTCTTTTGTTTTTAGGGTGGTTCATCTTAGCAATGATCATTGTCATTTCGCTAGGAACCATCGTCTCTTCCGTCATCATTGCCATTCAGAAGAGGGGAAGCTTGGGCGAAAGATTATCACGAAAAGCTTTAAAGTATGACCAAATATTAAGAAATGAATGAATGAGATTGTCCTTTTAAGGGTGGCCAAAATCATTGCTTATTTAACTTGTACTTCTTTACCTCCTCATGTTGAAAAAGAACAACTTATGGAAGCTTTTGATGCTTCAACGCCTAATGTGGAAGTTCGTCCTTTGAAAAGTTTGGAATCAAAGAAATGGATGGGATTACGGTAATTCTCTATAAAAACCGTTCACTTGGGTGTTATTTATGGAATATTATAGAAAAGTCAAGAATGGAGTTTCAGTTGTTTGTGATAAGAGTACAGATCCATTGATCCACATGACACCTTCAAACACAGGTTTTGCTCTATTTCCATTGTGTTGTGGTTGAGTGAGAAAGATAACTTTGACTCATAGACTCTTTCTCTAACCTTCTCTCTCTCTCTCCTTCTCTCTATGTTCTTCCTGCGAATTATGGTTTGGGTAAAAACAAAGAGGAGAAGTGAAGGAGAATGAAGAAGTTTCGCAGAACTTTTTCGTCTCATCTCCCTCTTCTTCTTCTCTTCTCTGCTTTATTGTGTTCATCAATTGTGTATGTAAGCTCAAGCCATATATGATCTTATGCTGACTGACTTTCTCCAAGTTTTTTTTTTTTTTTGGTTTTGAAGTTTGTTTTGGTTCCAAACGCCCAAAAAAGGAAATTCTCTTTTCTAACGACAAGAATAGATAATTCATAACTCTCTCAGAACATCGAAAGAGACGGAAAAAGTAAAGAAAATTCTTTGAAATCAACCTGAAAACTAAGAAATCCTTGTTCTCCATTCTTTATTTCCTCATCTGAATGATTGTTGTTGCAGACGATGTGATAAGTCATGGAAATACTCCAGTAGCTCCGATTCCCATTTGTGAGGATGAGGTATGAGATCACTTTATAGATCATTTGTGTATATTGCGTTTATTAAGATATCACTAGCAAGCGATTACTCTTCAAAGCCGACAACGAACCGATTCCCTCGACCTATGAGAACATCATACCCCGCAATGCAAGGTTTGTTTTCATCATAAGCTTATATAACAATAAATCAAAAAATTGTCAGCTTCCATGAAACACAATAAACAATTGGCGACAGCAGAATTCGAATGGCTAGCAACTGTTGTGGAAAGGTGAATCAAATTTGTTTGAATTGTCATGTCATTTTTCTTTTTTTCTTCAACAAAAATCATTTTCAGAGCTTGTTTTGTCATTTTCGTCTTTTTCTTTCTTGTAATTACTGTTGGAATTAATGTGATCGGCTTCTATCATTGGTATCAAGCAGGAATCTTATATGGAAGTACGGACTAACGCCAAAACGTCTTTTCTCATTGGGTTCTTCATTTTTGAATTTTTTTTTTTTTTTGAATTTTTTTATTATTTTTTATTATTTCATTTTCATTTTTAAAATTCTATTCGTCATCCGTCCTACTTTCGTCCTTCCTCCTCTCTCTCTCTCTCTGTGTTCTGTGGAATAGCCTATCCTCCTCCCACAGTAGTTCCTTCTCTTCTTCTCTCGAACTCCAATCTCTCTTCGAAGTTATGAACTGTTTCCTTCATTTTCAATTGAAAATATATTTTTCTAGGAATCATTTTATCAGAAAATTTCCAATTCTCTTCCGAGTTCACATCATCCAACCTCTCTTCTGTTTCATTTTCTATTTATTTTTAGAAAAAAAAGTAAAAAAAAAGAGAAAAAAAAAGAAACTGTCTGGCCTTACAGTAAATAAAATGCTTTCAGTGATCATATAAGGTCTGTGTGTGTGTGTATATGTGTGATTGAATGAGTTGTTCAACTCACTTCGTACCTTTCATTTCATTATTTTTCATTTTGTACATATGTCAATGTGCTTTAGTGAAGTTTGATGCAGTTTGAATAACATTAGATGTGAGATGTATTCCATTTACATCTTCTTCTTCTTCTTGTTCATATCGTCCGCAATATCACAGGATAACGGTCAGTCCTTATATGGTGCTTCTTCATCAGATCTCTTGTTTCAGTTATTACTTTGTTAACTAATCAAACTGTTTCTCCAAAATCTCTCTATAATTATTCCTCTCCTACTCAAAGTATAGAAAATATTCCTCATATTCGTTTGACCAGAGACCTGCTTGCTAGGGACAGGTATGTCATATTCATCTCAGAAGTCATCTCATTCAAATTCTTATTCAAGATATGATGTGCGGGTTAGGCCAATAGTTGATCATACAAAAACACTCAAAGTACATATAAGTATGTCATTATATCAGATCATTGAAGTGGTAAGTCTTAACAACCTATCATTCCAATAACTATTCATCTGAATAGGATGAGCCAGCACAGAACATAAAGCTGAACGTTTGGATGATTCAACGATGGACAGACGAATATTTGAATTGGAATCCTCGTGACTATGGTAATACCCTATGATCTGCTATCTATAACCATACCTTATTAGGAATGATTAATCAGACTATAATTCCACATGAATTTCTCTGGATTCCAGATACTTATCTTTACAACAGGTAAGCCTTCCTTCCTCAATTGCAAATTCAAACAAAAATGTTTTTTCAAGTGTAAAAATGAGTCGAGATGAAACAGAAAGATACATGAATATTCAAGTGAGCTCAAATCATTGGAAAGGAACTAATGGATCTGAACTTTCTTTTTTATATCCCGCCATCTATACAATCACTTGTCGTCTTAATATACGGTACAGTCTATGCCCATGTCTCTCCCATCCCCTCTTCATATCTAACTCTCTTTATAGATTTTTCCCGTATGATCGACAGAATTGTACTTTGACCATCTCCAGTTGGACAAATTCCAAATCTGCTCTGGACTACTATGCGGATGCAGAGGTTTAGTGAAAGCCCTGTATGTGTGATGATTGTAATTCATTTCACAGGTAAATCTGGCTTCTTTCATTTCAAATGAAGAATGGGATGTCAAATCATTCAAAATCTTCCGTCATGAGGTTATTTGATCTATTTTAATATTAATATTTAAAAATATAAATGATTTTTCAGTATAAATATGCTTGTTGTGCTGAGCCATGGGTAATCCTTCAGGCTTCGTTGGTTATTCAAAGAAAACCTTTGTATTATATTGTCAATCTTATTATTCCTACATCCATCATAACAATCGTTTCTATTACGGGATTCTTCACTCCTGCCAGCACGGACGATGATCGAACAGAAAAAATTAATTTAGGTTTTTTAATATACAGTCATTAGGTATCAAACTACATACAATCATAATAGGTATTACTACGCTCTTGGCTATGTCCATTTTGATGTTGATGGTCTCTGATCAAATGCCCACAACCAGTGAATTCGTACCTCTTATAGGTATCTTTTCTTGTTTCTTTATAACATCTTCGGAAGCGAGTGTCTCTCTTCTCTCTTCTCATTACTCATGAACCATGTTATCCCATGTTCACATCACTCACTTGTTAGCTGAACGTTCATGCACGAGTGCAAAGGAGAGAGAGATGAGCCATGAGCCAGCATCTTCTCATTACTCTGCAGGTGTAGAAGGATATGCAATGCTTTTCATTTCAGCGTGGTTCTATCTTTCAATTATTATCATTGTGTCCATAGGAACATTCTTGACAAGCGTCGTATTATCCATACAAGGTATGACTCCAATCCTCAATCTAACTTTTCAATTTTCATTTCGTAGGTCGAAGACAATACGGACGTTGTCCACCTGGATATATTCGTTACATATTCTTCGTTATTTTCCCTCAATTTTTATGTTTAAATATTCCTCCATCATTACAACAGCTCTGGTCGGAGTTGGATGTGAGCTCTCTTCATCATGATTATTTCAAACATTTTGTCTGCAGGATGATCCATTGAACGTCTGGAAACGTCGTAAACTGCCAAGTCCTCCATCCAAACGGAATGAGAAGCCAAAAATAGCTTCTACTGGTCTCATCAGTACCGACTCATTCAAACAACAATTATCTCCGATGTCACCGTAAGTCATGCATCTCTTCTATCTCGGAATACTCATACTGTTCAGGAATACCTTGCGCGTTCCTAGCAGTGCTGGCTTTGCAGGATTTGCTGGACTAGAACGGGAGAGTTCTATCCAAATGATTGATTTGTCATTGCCGGCATCTCCATCGTCTCTACAGTCACGGGCTCCATCCATTTCTGTAGAGAAGAAAGTCCCTACTCTGTGGGAAGGAACCATGTCTGCTCTAGTTGGTGAGTTTCAATCATGCAATATCGAAGACAAGCTTAATCGAAAAGCTTCTTCATTATCTGTATACACAATAAACCGCAATATGAGATTGATGCATTATAGGAACGAATTCTCACCTTCGTCGCACATCAGCTGTTTATTCGAAAGAAATGGATGTGATGAGGAAGAAACGACAGTGCTCTCTTGAATGGGAATTCTTGGCAACGATTCTCGATAGGTATAGCATAGAGATACTGTATATTCTATATAATTATAATATAATTAAGATTTTTATTGATTCTCTTCATAAGTGCCGTAGTATTAATAACAGCTGGATTAGTGGTTGTGGGTAAGATGGCCCAATACAGTTATGACAATCCTGATCATTCATTCTTCTGGTGAACATCCAAAGATGAACGCAGCTTGTATTCAATTTCTGTTCTTCTTCTTCTTCTTTCAGAATAATTAGTGTTTCATCACCCATCCATCCCCTACACCCTCTCATATTGACAGTTTGAAAAGCTTTTCCATTGCTCATCCTCTGATTTATTTGCGAAAAAAAAGCTTTTTCTTTTTGTATTCGCTAGTTCTTGAACATCAAAACATACTAATTCAAAATCGTTTTTCTCACATTTTCCATTTTCGATTTTAAAAGAAAAAAATTATTTTATTTTTATTTTTTTTTTCGTTTGTTTTCAACGCATACCGGTATATCAATTGCTGTTCATTTTTCCTTTTTGAACGAACTGCTCTATGGATTCATGGAAATAAAATGTTTTCTCTCATTCAAGCATTGTTCCTATACATGATAACTGATTGTATGAAGTGTCTACCATATTTGGTGAGGACATGTGAAACAGAGTTGAAAGAGTACAAACATGATTAACACAGTTGAAAGAGATCGATAATTGATTTCAAAAGTACAAAGTCAATCAGCTGATGTCAAAGATGCTCAACTAGGTCATGTATTTCGACTTTTTGTATAAATGCGGTAAAATGAATTAGCCTGAGCCCTTAATCATACGTATAATTAGTATAATTTTCTGTCTTTTTCTTGATTTTCTATCAAAATTCTTTTATAATTCATCTCTCATTTGCAGGAACATAAAGTTCCTCGGATGAGGGTGGCGATGCAGTCGGGTCACTTTGGATTGATCTATTGAGTGAAGGACATGAATTGTAACAGTTATAAATGCCGAACGGCCGGAAGACGTTAGTTTGATTAGTATCCGTATGTGTTATTGTTATACAATTTGAGATATTTATGTATGTAAACTAGCCTTCATGTAATTGATTGTGACTGAGGTTATTAAATAACATTTTAATTTCAAATCTGATTAACACGTTGGTTCCATGCCTTTCGGAATGAGCCTGGTAGTTTGTGCTTTTTCGATCAGAAACCGAATTGTAAGTAGTGGCCAACAGCTAATCATAGATAGTATGTACTGAGAGTTGCTCCATTGCGAATT